AATCTGAATCGATTAAAGTTTAAATATATTTACATACATATGACCGGTATAGAAGAAACTTTGAATTATTATTATTTGAATTGAAATTTGTTAAAGTACAGGAATAAGAATTCTTTTGAAGAGAAGACAACCATGCCGGTATTAAAAATAACATGCATTGTATTTTGACTATAAAACGCAATCTGATTCTGTATAGTAGTAGGCTTCCAAACTTTTCCTATCACTAGCAGGCCCTAGCATAAGTGGCGGGTCTTAAAATGGAAGGGAGCTGATGGTGTCAGGAAGGTAAAGTGGGGGGATCGGTGATTATGAGGGGATAACTCCCAAAATAAGGTGATATGAGGTGATTTTAAATTACTTGAGCATGATTTGTGGGCGGGGGCACAACTAGGGGATGGGAGAGTATTTTTTAGGGGTAGGGGGAGGATGTGCGACCCCCTTGTACATCCTAGATATGCCAATATCTAGCATACCCTGCAATTTACCCTACGGTCGACCACTGGACTAGGGTGGCCACTAATAATCTTTTAACATTTTTCAATTTCTGAAGATCCTAAAATAATATGCAATACACCAAATTATTCACCAAAAATGACGTCATCACAATTTCCTTTAGTGGGTATGAAAAAATAAAAACATCGCACGAAGAGCAATGCTAATGCTAATTGCGTGATGTCGAAAGTAGTGTATATTAAATTGTTAAAAATGTAATAAGTTAGCATAGAAGATACTTTGTAGACAATTTTTACAAATGATTCATAGATTTGAGATTAAGGTTGACTCGATTTACATTTCCATTCAGACTAAAAATATGAAGAGTTTTGAGAGACCTTCTAGGGGGCCTAGGCTTATCGCTTAGGCAAATCGCCACATAAAGCGCTGACTAATGGATCGTCGTTGATTTTGAGGTACACTTCAGACTGTCACTCGGTTTTGTTGCAATTTCTGTATGAAATAATTAAACTTATTGGACAAACTTAAATTGCTGAATTGTAGAATATATGTATTTCTTTGACTAACTATGATCAATGAGTCAGAAGAATGTTGTTTGTATGAATGTCTAGCCTAGTTTTCCATCCATTCCTACCACTGAATTTCAAATCCAATTTTCTGACGTTTGTTAAAGGAATATTTACCTTTGTTTGTAACTGTATTTTTGGCGGTGATTGCCTTCCATAGGGGTGATGATTTTTAACATTTTAAACAATGTTCCATCCTAAGTTTCTGAGAGCAAAATTATTTGATGTTATAAAATGAATTTCTTAATAAACTACACTCAATTGAGGAGTTGCTGTCAGTTGTTTTTGCATGTACCAAATTCCTTGACTACATTAAAAAAAGGGTAACAATTGAAAACTGTTATCAGCAGCACAGACAAGGCTTTAGCAGTATCTTAAAGAATTCAGAAATATCAGTACATCCTAAAATACAGGAGAGGAGAGGACATATACTTGTTACTTGTTTGATACTTTTTTAGCACTTATTGTTTGCGATTACAAAGCACTAACATACCCTCCACTGTAATATTTTCATCAAGTAAAGCCTCACCCCCCCCCCCCCCCCCCCCCAAACAAAAACTAACATAGTATCCTTTCATGAGTCATGAAGTAATTGATTGGTTAAAAAAATAAAAATTAAGTGCAAAAACTACAAACCCAGCCAAACATGTTGAAAAGACAAGTAGATGGATGCAGATGGGAAAGTGTTGTCTTTGATATGCTTACAGAACAGTGAAAAGTTTGTATACAAGCTTTACAAAACAATTAAGAATTAAGTTTGGTAGAAGCATTTTGAAGTTTTGGAAGAGTGTGAATATCTTTCAAACTGTGCTATATAAATGATGTAATGTATGTATGAAATATCTTTCTTCAGTCGACCAGTGTACAGAAAATTGCAATAATCTAACCTGGAAAGTAGCCCCAACAGTAGCATGACAGGTTTCCCCATCAATGAATTTTCTGATTCGCCACTGATTTCTAAGTAACCTGATGGTTAAGAATAGCAGATGAGCAAAATGAAACCTCCGAATTTGTAGACACTGCTAGATGGCTTGATTTCTAATTTTATAACTCCATGGTGGTACCTGTAGTAACCCCTAGTGAAAGATCAATACATTTTTCCTGATCAAGAGAAAGGTGGTATTTTAAAGCAAGGACTAGAAACTGTTTTCTCTTTAGCTTGAGCCTACTGTAGTACACACTAACACCCACTTCTGAATATCGGTAAAACAGTGGGGCAATTTATGGAGCAAAGAATCAATGCTAGAAAGATTTCAGGGACTAAAAGGAAGATATAGCTGAAGATCATCAGCATTGAAGTGATATAGCTTCACATAATGTTGCCTAGTGGGCTAATGTACAAACTACAGTACATAAGCAGGGGTCAATGACTTAGCCTCTTGGGGTACACCAGCATTTAGTAAAGGATGTGATGTGCAGAGAATTCACCAGATGGAAACCCTACTACTTTACAACTCAGAAACAATTTAATCCAGTAAAGGGCATATCCTTTGATGCCAAATGCTGTCTCAAGATGATGAAGCAGGACGTTGTGATCAACCGTATCACATGCTGCTGAGAGATCATACAGAACAAGCATAAACCTTGGCAATATATTCAGTGAAAAGAGAAATGTCAGTGTGGACTATAATAGAGCTGTTTCAGTACTTTGATTACCCCTATAGGCTCATCAGTTCAGTGAAGATTGAGAGAATAGTTGGTTGATGTTGTATTGATGTGTTGTTGTTGATTTTTATAGATGAAAGGTGATGGGCCATAAAAAAAACAAGGTGTTTTCTAGCCAAAGATGGTTGGCGGGCTGCACACATAGGCTTTTTAATGTGTTTTTGCAGGCAGCAAAAAAATCACTGTCAGGCCACATGCAGCCCGCGGGCCACACTTAGCCCAACTGTGATCCAAAAAATGTAAAACTGAGCTAATTACTAGCGATGATGCGGATTGTCATTCACATAATTTCAGTACTGGGACAATAATTACTGCCAGTCATCTTTCAATACCAGACAAAAAATATTGTTATTAGGTAATTTCATAAATATTCCTCACAAATACTGTTTATATGACAACATTATATCTTGCATATCATATAATTCTTAGAAACTCACCTTCAAATAATTCACAGCTTAGATCGTCATCTTCTCTTTGATCATTACACTGTAAAAAAGAGAAATTGTTATGATGCTGAGAATTCTTTTATTTTTGTACTATTTCATTTAAAAAAAAAAAAATTAAGACAATAACAATACAATATAATAATAATAATAATAATAATAATAATAATAATAATAATAATATAGTATCTAGAACAATAATACATGCAACAATAAAAGTAAACAAACAATACACATAATATTGAAAATTATAATTATAACAATAAAAATATTTACTAGAGCACACTCCGGGAGTGTATACAGTATTTCCGCACACATCATAATTCTCCATGTATAAAATTCCCACGCATCTTTCCCATTTGATAAAAAAAATAATGAAAACATAATCCACCAGGATTCAAACTCAGGACCTGCCGCTTACAAAGCAAACATCATTTCCAACTAAACAATTAATACAGCCCGGTAGCTACTGTATCATGGAGGTAGCTATACACAAAACAAAGGAATTTTTCAGTATTTTGTAGTATTCATACAAAGTCTGAAAATGCCGAAATTGTAATACATTATCTCTATGTACAGCAAGCAAATACAGCATTCCAAAAGGTTACTGTGAACTTAAAAGAATATATTAATTTCACAAAAAGTTGAACAGTATACTGTACACTGTAAGTAATTATGTCAACATTGTAGCAACTGAAACATCATTACTGGTTTCTTGTATAGAGTAGGTATGTGTAATGAAATTGTATTAATTTGTTGTCATTTATTAACCGATGTTAATTAAGCCTGTATATGTGAGAACCAATATAATTGAACCGTGAAAACCAATATGTATGTATGCAATATGTTGTTTTCCTGTATAGTTTTCACTGAGCCGATAAAAAAAATACAACCGAAGCTCCTGTCAAAGCCTTGGCCTTTGTGTTTATTATGCATGTCTAAATCTTATTAGGTAGACCAACACAGAACACTTCATTGAAAAATTCCTTGCTGCATTACAGTATATGAGGTGATGTGAATCAACACAGTGATTATGACCGAGTTTTAATTATTGCATCTATTTGTTTACTGTTGTTTGCAGAAGAGCGTTAATAGTCAATCAATGCTGGGTGCTTTTTTAAACATTTTCTTTGCTATCAACCTTCTTTAAAGAGAATTCAGGGTAGGCGGTATGAAAATTAATCATATATTCATAGTGTTAATCTATTTCATGGAACAGGCGGGGAAATTGTTGTAAAAGCCTCTGTATTTCGCTCCCAAATGAAGAGGGAAAAGCCGCATTCAGTCAACCTTGTTGTCGGCAAAGGCCAAGATGCGCACTGCTTGTGTAAATCTGGGTATCTATAACCAAGCACAGACACGTAGACCTAGGCTCACGTATGTTTCGCGTTGACAACCAGCTGTCTAAGGAAATTAAAATGTCAGAGAAAAAGTTTTTGATCGCTGATTAGTCGGTTTATCTGTCAATCAAATCTCGTCGAGATGTTAGTTGAATCATAAGAACAGGAATGTTTCTTTTAACGCATGAAAACGCAGACTGAATTTTGGTTCAGGTTCATGTAAATATAGTGTGAAAGATCTTTTGTTTAAAATATACACACAAACTTGTTGAAAGTACTTTATATTGTAGGCGAGACTTTTTTTATTCCTTGTTTCGCATACTTATTTTATGAAAGATCATCGGAGGAGGGCGGAATAAAAATAAAAATAACATTTTGTTTCCTTATTTAGCGATAGTTTTCCAAAAAACATCCTAACAGTGGAGAAATAAAAATAAAATTTGATTGGTGAATGTAATATAATTAGGAAGAAATATACATGTCTTTGGATATTTCAAGGCAGCGGAGGTCGTGATAGAAATAAAGAAAAACTTTTATTTTTTTTCTGAAATTTCCACTTTTTCGTGGCGGCAGGTGCACTAAATGGCCGAAAATGAAATTGTATTTTTATTCAAAATCATCAACATTTGCAGTCGGCAGGTTCGCTAATCAAGGTATAAAAAAAGTCTTGCCGTACATACATTAAAAACATTGCGATTTGCAACAATTATGTTTGGTGTGGAGCTGCCTATCCATGATGGAGTTGAGGTACATTGTTGAAATTTGTAACACGTACACATAATTATAGTTATACTCCTGTTGTGCAAGTTTTAATACCTTGTGTAACTGGCCATATGGTCTTTTTAAAGACAGAAGGATCTTTCAGTCTCATTGGGAACCATTATGGTCATGGTTGAGATGTTCATATAATGATGCAACCTCATCATAAACCAGCAAAGCCTCACCTCGATTTGCTTTTAAATCTGGTGAAATAATAATATTATTAATAATAATAATAATAATAATAATAATAATAATAAATAATAATAATAATAATAATAATAATAATAATAATAATAATAATAAAAACTTGTAAAATGCCGGTAAAACTTGTAAAACGCTCATGGCGCCCTTTACAAGAAGTAAAAAATATGAGAGACAAAAATTATGTACTCTTTAAGATTACTGTCATTGATGCAGTTTTTATACACAGTTTCTTTAATTTATTTACAATTTTTTTTTTAAATCTCACATCTTTGTCAATTGTAACTGTTGACAATCTGTACATATTGTTTTTACTCAGCCAGTTATTGGTTTTAAATGACATTTTATTTTTTTCAAATATTTGAAATTTGACATTACTATTATGCAAGGTCTGGAAATAAATTTAATGTAGATATGAAATACCAAAACAATTTGTTTGGACTTACTATTTTCACAGCTTTCTCCTTTAAACCCTGGTGCACAAATACAGTTACCTGTCTTGTCATCGCATATGTTACCATTAAAACAAATATTACAAATACTTGTACATCTAGGTGCACCCCAGCGGCAAAGGTGGACATTCTGAATGAAATAAATATCTCAAAATGGTTTAACCTATTAATATACGGCAATGCATTTAGGTTTAACAAATCTAACACTGACTATTATTAAAGAAGCATGGGCTAAGAGTCTACATGGTGTTCACACAAAATGTGTTATGATTACGTACACTGTACAAGGATGCTATTGCTTGTTCAGTGGCGGATCCAGAAATTCGAAATGGGGGGGGGGCCCCCCAGGAAGGGACATTCACCGCAGAGGGTCTAGCCCACCTGAGACCCACCGTGGTTGGGGCTGAGGTAAGAAAATTTATGATTTTAGCACTCTCAGACTTAAATTTAATTATAATTCTTCTTTTTTTTTCTAATTTGAAAAAATTAAGAAAGGAGGGGGGTCACTGTAAAATCAGTCAATCAAAGAATCAGATACTATTATGTTATACTTAGCTGTGCAAACCTTCAAACACAACTAGCAACAGATCCAGGAATTTGAAATAGAAGGGGCCAAGAAAGGGACTTTCACAGATGGAGGGTCTATACCCTCAGCCCAATCATAGTTGGGGCTGAGGTAAGACCATATTGCATATGATTATCACATTATTCAATTATAAAAGCAAATGAAACTTATAATTATATGCATGGCACTATGCAATACCACATTCAAAACAATGTTATATATAATTCATAACCATGTTTTAATGAGAATGATTAAACTAATTATTTGATCATTTGGGATCCTCAATACTTTATTAGAACATGATTTATGTGAAACTTGACTATTTTCACTAGAATAATGCTACAACCATTTAAAAAAACAGCCGATATGCAAACATTGTACCATGTTATGTTTTTGTTATTTTTTATAAATAAACAAAGGTGAAGACGTACTTACAGAACATTTTTAAGACCTGTCAGGTCTCATTCTCAACCTGCATTTCATAACTTCCGTCTAGCAGATGAATGTGCGATGACCTTTACAACCTACTAACTATTAACATCCAGATGAATTTTTTCAACTTATTTAAAACTTCAAAAATGACAAAAAAAAAACAAAAAACAGAGAGATATAAGTATAACAACAGTATATAGTTTTAAATATTAATATTCCATTATTTAAAAAATTCAAATATTTGTTTTAATGTTTTCGTATTTTATGATAAAATATCAGAAAATTTCTGAAACCTATATGTAAAGTCAAAGCACTAATCAGTGTAATTCCTCAACTTAATACAAAAGATCTAAATACTGTAAATCCAAAATAAATCTTTTTTTCCTCTGTCTCCCTTGTAATTCACTTAAATTGTAGGCCTACATTTATATTTGCTGTGAAATTTCAATTCTTTTGTTATCTTGTTATAGTTAATTAATTATCCTATGTACATATGAATGGAATTTGTAATTTCTGTGTATTTTTAACTTTCCACATTTTTATTTCTTTTGTTTTTAATTTTTTTTTGTTTTAAATATGTAATGACATGTAATTCTTATTTACTGTGAAATGAGGACATGAAAATTGAATTATTATGATTTACCAATAGTGTTAACTTACTTATTCAGGCCAATTTCTGAAGGTGGAAATGCCCTACTGCCACTGGATCGATGCACTTTTAGATTCTGGAGAGACAAATAAAATAAAAAACTGCAACAAATGAACATTTATAGTAAATGCAATTAGTTTAATGATGGGTTAGAAAGAGTGAAATTAAGTTTCAAATTTTCTTTTCTGAAATAAAATTTCCACCAAAAATCAAACTTTAAATATAAAGCCAAATAAAATTAATTGATCACCTCAAATTGTGGGTCATCATTAAAATATTTACTCTTTCATTTCTGATTTTAGCACTCAGACCTAAATTTTATTATAATTCTTCTTTTTTTCTTTTTTTCTTTTCTAATTAAGAAGTTGGAGGGGGGTATGGTGAATCCACTACTGTAAAATCAATCAATCAATCGAATATTCTTATGTTATACTTAGCTGTTCAAACTTTCAAACACTATGGAACGACAAATTACAAGTGGCGCAGTGCAAAAGTCAGTCGCAGTGCAAAACTAAAGTGGCGCAGTGCAAAACTAAAGTGGCGCAGTGCAAACTCAAAATGCGTGTGCCACCACTTTAGTTTTGCACTGCGTCACTTTAGTTTTGCACTGCGTCACTTTAGTTTTGCACTGCGTCACTTTAGTTTTGCACTGTGCCACTTTAGTTTTGCACTGTGCCACTTGACTTTTGCACTGCGATTGTAGCTTGTCCTTTTCGCAATATCACGCCAAAAGGACACAGTGCAGAAGTCAAGTGGCACAGTGCAAAACTAAAGTGGCGCAGTGCAAAACTAAAGTGGCGTAGTGCAAAACTAATATGGTGGCACACGCATTTTGAGTTTGCACTGCGCCACTTGACTTTTGCACTGCGCCACTTGAATTTTGTACTGTGCCGCTTGACTTTTGGCGATATTGTATGGAACGCCAATTTGGCATTAAAAAAAAATTAACTAATTTTTACTAGGTAGGCCTATATTATTATTATTATTATTATTATTATTATTATTATTATTATTATTCAATATCTTGTGACACCCCTCGAACTATAGTTAGGCAAAGATAAACTAAAACAATAATTACATACACATTCGCAAAAGTATAGTGTAACCCAATAGAATGAATTTTTATTTCTTTTATTGAATGTTCTTCTGGAAATGAAATCCCACTTTAGTAGTATGTTCTATCTCCTTTTTAAATCACCATTTACACATGTAATTAATTAGGATCCAATTCCTCAATCATCTACATCAACAATTGAATACAAATATCGACGGAATTTTCCTGTCCGGATAGGCAGATTTTAAAGAAATTTCAACCACACAAGTCGAAGTTCCAAATTTAGTAGCGCACGTGGGAAAAATACACAGCCGTGGGAAAATACGAAGTTCAATCCTTGTTGTACGGCAACAAGTTAGCCATGTTAAACTAACATCTCAGACAGCGCGCTGTGGAACTTGGCTCACATGATCGTATGTCGTAAGTTGCAGTCTACTCTCACAATACAGACACCCCTCCGGACCGGCTCCAATGTTCAGTTTTTCGTCCAGTTTAGTTTGTAAAACTTGTACTGAACCCACTTCGAACAATATTGTTGTAGTCAGGGCCTAGCTATTTAATTAATTTATCAAAGCCCTGGATTCTTTTGACTGCCTAGCCTACGCAAATTCAACACATTATTTAATAAAGAAATACGTATAGTACCTGTTGTTTTGCTGTACTGCTCAGCAAATTGAATTATTACCAATAAAACTGATGCGACTTTTATATTGTTTTTGTGTGTATTTCTTTAGGTCTAATTATGTTTTTCCAAGCACACATTCTTCGTTGGGCAATGCAGACTAGACATGTGCTTTGGCTGTGATGACGTCAGATCGCCCAAAGTTTTATAGTGCGTGACAGTAACAAGCTCGGTGTAATCTTTCACATCTCCCTGGTTTTTTCAAGAATGTTTTAATTAAACAAATTTATAAAACAAAACAAAAAACAAATAAGAAACCCTCCTGGTATATTTTAGAGTCAAATCTAAATAAACCTAACAAATTATATTTTATTCTCTACAAATTTCCTCCGTACCGACCGTAATTAAATTAGCAACATGTTTTGAAAAGCGTCTTGAGTTTAAAGAATGAATGAGGTGCATTTGAAAATTACACCGACGAATCTAACGAATTTGAATTAGACGTCTACTGAAAAGAGTAACCAGTAGAAACTTGCTTTGTTGAGTTCCCTCTTTATACAGGTTGATTCCAAATGGTCTTTAAGGATTAAAAGCAAGAATATACACTTATTAAAACATTGGAATGCGTAAATTTCACTTCATAATTAACCAAGAAAACGTCTACTGGTGTGTCGTGTTAATCAACAGATAATCTTCATGGCAATGCGAGTATAGCTAAGCGTCTCGTTTTCACAGCGTATAGTATGCGATTTGGAATAGGGAGTTCATGTTTTCGAAAAGTATTTTATTAAAAGAAGAATAGGAATGAGTTTGGGACTTAACAAAAATGTTCGGTTTTGCATGAAATTCGATTTTGTGGGCATTGAGTACACATAGTAATTTTCTATGTTTATAATATTTTTTTTTTTCGAAAATGTGCAAGTCGAAATCTGTATAATATATATATAACTCGAACTTTTTATGCCAGTCCCATTAGATTCGACTTAGGCGAACTCGACTGATTGAAAAAAAAGATAAAAATATATCATTTTTATAAAATTCAACCGCGGTTGATTGTAATTAATGATAACAATTAAAGTACAGTTGTAATAACTTATAGGCCTACAGGTAAATTACGCTACATAAGAATAAACTATTATTATTATTATCATTGTTATTATCATTATATTATTATTAAAGGCCACAGTAATATATGAATAATTAAAATGCCTAAACAGTATTTATTTTTCAATATATAAATATCAGAAATCGCTGTCGCACACTAAGACCACAATAAAATTATTATATTCATTTAAATATTGAAATTGTATTATGAAAAATGTTTAAAAAATGTTTAAAACCGTATAGTTTACATTCTGTCAAAATGTAAACAGGAAAAACAGGAAGAAATCTACTTGAGTCAAAAAACGAATCTGTGTCCTTTAATTTTTTGATTTGCCAAAAAAATTATTACTGTATATATTATTGGTCTAATTAATAAATTTAAATGCTGAAAATGTCAATCTGAGCTGTAATAATACAATGTGTAAATGCATGTTATTGAATCGGTCTTCCTAACTAGCTACCCCGTCGGTTGCGTCGACCCTAGCATAGCCTAACTATAAGTAGTCTACCCCAACTAGCCTAGCAATGATGTAGAAACAAAACGCAACAGATTTTTTTTTTTCAAACTTACAACCGATATCACTCGAAAGGTCACTCTTTCTTAATCGGAAATTACTCCGGAGGCTTTTTATGGTGCTTACGCTTACCTCCATTTCTCCAGCAATTTGTTTATTTGTTTAACCTATCACTACCAAAGCTTCTAATCTGTCTCAAGTAGCCATGGCTGACAACTGTGCTATAGGCCTTTATTAGCGGTAGTAACGATGAATAGAATAGATAAGCAGAGGCTACGGTATCTACGACAAGTATGCCTATGATCATAACGTTCCTATTTGTGTTTTAGTCCCAATTTTGTGCTGTTGTTGTTTTGCTGTGAAATTATTAAGAAAAATTGAATTATGTGTTCTTGATTTTTTTATTCATTTATTTTATTTAGTTTAATTTTGATGCCAAAATTGGCATTCCATACAATATCGCTTAAAGTCAAGTGGCGCAGTGCACAAGTCAAGTGGCGCAGTGCACAAGTCAAGTGGCGCAGCGCACAAGTCAAGTGGCGCAGTGCAATATTCAAGTAGCAGCACACGCATTTGGATTTGCACTGCGCCACTTTCGTTTTGCACTACGATTGTTGTTTGTCCTTTTCGCGATATCACGCCAAAAGGACAAACTACAATCGCAGTGCAAAAGTCAAGTGGCACAGTGCAAAACTAAAGTGGCTCAGTGCAAAATTCAAGTAGCAGCACACGCATTTGGATTTGCAATGCGCCACTTTCGTTTTGCACTGCGCCACTTTAGTTTTGCACTGTGCCACTTTAGTTTTGCACTGCGCCACTTTAGTTTTGCACTGCGCCACTTGTAATTTGTCCTTTTGGCGTTTGAAACACAACAGTGACTTTTTAATTACTACCCATATTTTATTCACACTGGACTTTACTTTGGAGTGAACATTCAAGATGTTATGGCATGCTAGCCTAGCCAGGAGCCTAGCTAACTAACTAGCCTATAAAAAGCTAGCCCTATGATGGTTGATGGTCACTGTTGGAAATTAGCTAGGCCTAGGCTAGTTAGCCTAGCCTGGGCCAGCTACTAAACGAAAATAAATCTTGTTTTGATATAACTAACAACCTCAACATACTTTTGATGCACCACACCGGGCGGTGTGTAAAGTAACTGATGTGCTAGTACTAAATAGGCCTGGCCAAAGGCTTGATATGCCTATCCTACTAAAGGCATTAAGCCTAGCCATGCCCTAGAGGCATAGGCCTAGGCCTAGTAGGACTAGGGTAGCCTAGTAAACTAAGCCTAGCCGCGCTAGCGTAAGCCTTATTTTAGGCCTAGCTAGCCTAGGTCACCGTCCTAGGCTAAGAATGCTACAAAATCGATTCAATAAAAGCTTTTTAATTATTGATTTTATGCTACAGTAAATAAGTTAATTAATTCACTAGGCTTTCAATAGTTCCTTATTAATAAAATAAACAAAGTAGCACACTTACACAATAGCAGGCCTAGGCCTACCTAGGCCCAAAACCAAAGATCGTATACGATCTTTGCCAAAACGCTCAACTGGATTTCAATTTATCGCGGGGCAGATCGAGCCATCGAAGGAAACGCATGCGCAGACACTGTTTTCGTCAAAATGTATTATTTTAAAGATTGGAATTATTGAGCAGAAAAGTCGATATATTTTTATTTTCGTCACTGTAGGCAGCAATCATCATCGGATAAGATAAAAATACATCAAATAGTGGTGCCAAACGGTTTACGCTATATTCGTATGT